AACTGTGATGACACCACAGATGAAGAGAATTTCAGGGAGGCAACATGAACAAGAGTGTCGGACTTCAGAGAAAGAAGGAAGGGAATAAACACGGCCATCGCACAGCCCTGGGGAACTCTGGGTGGCGCTGCTCGGGAGGGGAGCCGTTTCAGCAGAGAACGGAAGGCAGAAGGAGGCCCCGGGGCTCGTGGCCTGGGTGAGGGGCTAACGTCAGCACAGGAGCTTCTCTAGTTACCCCAGGTACAGCTTGCCCCAGGCACACAGAAACTTCCTTGCAAGGGAAACAACTGGAAGTCATGTCAGCAGATCAGCAAAGAAAAAAGCGCGACAACATGAATAAGCTGTTACCTTCTTGTGATTCTTGTAAACATTTCTGTGGGCAAATCCCTTTCCACACAGCTTGCATTTGTAAGGTTTGTCTTCACTGTGTATAACCTTGTGGGCACCCACTTGATCAAGCCTCTTGAAAGATTTATTACAAATCTCACAATTATAGGGTCGTTTCTCTGTGAAAAATGAGTGGAGACAATCTCATATCTATATAAAGTAAAGGATAAAAAGAGAAACAGCCTTACCTCATATTACTTCTCATGGATAAGTCAGCTAAAACACTGAGCACAAATGAACAAAATCTACTGCCCGATCCAGCTGTTAGATCGCGGGGCCTGTTCACAAAATAAGTGCCAGCTTGTTCTTTATACCCCCGTTTTGTCAACTAAATGTATAAAGTAGCTTAGATACAAAGAAAAAGTTTACATTCAAAAAAGCAACCCTACGTGTAGGTGAAAAAACTCTGCTGGCAGGTGTGGGTTTATGTCAAGGTCCCAACTGTGACTGCTACGAGTGGCCCAACCGCGTGGATGCAACCGACTGGCCACGTGACCCCATACAGGCCGAGATTCCAAGTCTCTGCAGAAACTGCGCCCTTGCATCCCTGTGTAAAACCCACATTTATACGACATTCATGTAAGGTGGACAACTAGATAAAAAATACTGTTTGTTTCAAACACAGCATGTGTGAAAGCTGCTGTTTTTGATCTCCTATTTTCATTTGCCAAAATATATCTATCGCCAAAGTGGCTATTCAAAGAGAACCTGACTTCCACGGCCTCCCATTACAGACACCCTGAACTCGAGAGAGAGAGGCTTCATAAAGCAAAACTTACTTTCACAGCTGAGTTTTTTAAATCTGTATAACAGATCTATTATGCAGACTTGCTTTAAATGAAGCTATGGTTTTCAAAACTTGTATTTTCAAAACGTATTTATAAATTTCTCACTAATGTTTACTAATACCTTACTTAGAATGTACAAGTATCTAGAAATGTAGGAACTCTAACTGCTGCCTCCCTCGCTGGCGTCAGACCCTAAGCTGGCACAGTACATGCATGAGCTCATTTAACCTTCATGCAATTCTGAAGGATAGGAGTCAGTATCCCATTTCATAGAAGAATAATACAGAAACTGAGGTTCAGGGAGGAATAAGTAACAAATTAAGTGGTGGTTTTGAAGATTTCCAATAGCATTCAGTCCACACTTAAGTCTGGGGAAGTTACATAACTTGTTCAAAATCACACAGCTCGTGAATGGCCAAGCTAAAACCAATAGCCAGGTCTCCCAATAATTACTCTGAGAGCTCCTGAAAATGACAAAGGGAATCTTTTGTAGTGATTTCAATATAAATTTTAAAAAATATGTATTTTACCTGAGTGGGTGATCATGTGACGTTTTAGCTGATTCGCTGAAATAAATTTCTTCATACATTCTTGACAATCAAATATCTCGTGAATCTGCAAAAGGTTAAATTGACAGCTAAACCAACTGTCAAAGCCAAATAAATTATATAGAGCTCAAAGTAAAAGTATAAATATGTGGAAAGTAGCTACTGCAGTGTCCAAACCGTATATCATAATTCAGCCCTGACTTGTTCATACTATCCTACATAGAGTGAGCATAAGTTACCTAGTACATATTAAATTTATATTCTCTATAAAGAATTATACTAGTACATATTAACTCTTTATGTCATGCACAAATTTAGACATGGAAATATGTAACCTGCAGGTAATAATATTGCCTTTACAGTAGTCAACAGTATTTTAAACTTAACTGTATGTATTATAGTACAGAACAAGACATTAATTCCCATGAAAGACAAGAAGACATAGGATTCTGAAACACATTTGCTCACAGCAAGGCTCTCGTGCGATAGGAGGACCGCAGACAAAAGAATAATCAAACCCCACAGTAAGTAAGGGGAAGATGACTTCAGCAGACAACTGGCTGCCATAAAAATCACACTGAATCTGAAGGTTGGTTCTTTCCCTCCCAGACACTAACCTGAGAAACTGGCTGGGTGGTGTGAAAAGTGTAAGTCCATTTTATTATCAAAACAATGTACGAGGTTCTAGGAGGCGTGTTCTGCACGGAGTCCCCTATTAGAAGCATCGATCACCCCAAGGAACTAAGCACAGCACTGTTTTGCTGAAGACTTGAAAACGTCATGTTTTTGTTTCAAGCTCATTAACAGTAATGCTCACAATGCTGATTCCCAGAGCAGCAAAGGCCCTTGTGCAGGGAGCCAAGATACCAGGGTGCTTCCGGAAGATAACTAGGGCCATTCCACAGGGGACGGTCAAGGCGAAGGCACAGACCTGGGACAGCAGTGAGTCATGAGCAAGCGTGGGAGACAAGGCTGCCTCCTGGTGAACGGCTCCCTTGATCTAAGTGGCCACGAAAAGACGGGACACGGCAGGGAAACAGCCCGGGCAAGGCTAACAGGCCTGTGTCTCAATCCTGTGCCCACCCAAATGTCACAGGCTGTCCACCCGCCTTCTGCTTTCCTCAGAGCTGACTCTCGATCAGTCTGTAAACTCAGTCATGAAAAGCAGGGCAAAGGTAGAAAAACAAGGCAGATGCAGAAAGCGGTCATTCCAGGTCCGACTTACAGCCCTGCTCAGATGCGGCGGCATCTAATCGGATCGGGGGACAGGAACAGTCTAGAGAGTTGTACGGCCCCTCAGAAAGCAGAGTGGCACTTACCTGCACAAGTACTCAGAAGACAGTACCATGCGGCACAGGAAAGGCTCTTAGCCTAAGACGTGTTAAAGGCAGGCAGCCTTTTAATCATCACAGACCCTCAACAGGGGCTTCAGCTGCACACCCGCATTTGAGGAGCAACGATACGATGTGCCATGTTTATTTAAACATAGTAAGAACAGATGTATAGTCTTAAACTCTGTGTTTCTATACTACATAATATAGAACGAGGTACTCTAAAAAAGAAAATGTGCCTTCTCAGTCATCCGTGAATAAGAGCATTTAGCTTTTTAAATTTTTAATGTTAAATTTTTATCAGTATGTAAAATTTTTTAAATTAGTAATAGGTATATAAAATGGTAATTGTTGCAAAAATACTGCAAAATAGTGCTCATATGTGTTCACTTTTTAACTCTCATGGTTTCTGAAACATGAAACATTTTTAAAGGTTGAACTGATAGTCCCCAAATTATAAAATAGAGCGTTTACTATGCCTGAAAGCATTTCTGCATTGAATATCTTATTTATAGTGAAAACGTCAGGCCAAAACTGTTTTCAAAATTCCTAAAAAAGTTTAATAAAAGAATCAGATTGAAAGTGAAAATGAGAGGTAATGCTATTTATTTATGCCTAATGCTAAGTAAAGCACATTTTGTAAGAGGTCTAGCTTGCTAAACTGATATGGAGGGTATTAACTTAATCTGAAGTCCCAAATAATTTTCAAGAGGGACCATAATACATGGTATTGGAATGTAGGAGAGTACATAGTAACCTAGGATACGGCCCTGGACCATAAGGTAATCTGGCGTCATAAAGCACCATCTGCTGGCAAGATAAAGCACTGCAACCAAACTCTATTAGACACTAGACCTACCAACGGTATGTAAGCGGTCAAGTAAAAAGTGGGGTCAGTCAAAGCTGCCTGTGGCTTCCGAAAGGCTGTCAGAGGAGCTGTGCCGCCCTGAGTTAATCAGTTACTGACACCTGTAGAGACATCGTAGGTGCTCTATTCCATCAGCACCAGGTACGATTTAGATCTAAGATAAAACCGGTTCTACCACGAAAAACGAGTTCTTATAGTACGAAGAAAATAAATGGAAAAGAGGACATTTTCCACAGCACATATACTAAAAGTGGATTTATACGGAGAAAATCAGCATGGCCCCTGCACAAGAATGACACACAAATTCTTCAAGGGTTCCGTATTTCTAAACAATCTGATAAAATAACCATTTGGAAACTGAAAAAACAAAAACCAAAAGCTGCATGACAGAGAAAAAATTTAAAAAGCACTGGTCAGTTCAATGTCACATTTAATAAATGAAGAAACAGACAGAGGCCCCTATTACACGAGGGTTAGAGCCAGAAGCAGAGCACACGCACAGTCCTGACGCTCAGTCCCGCGCTTGGTCCGTTCTTTCCCCCTAAGGATCAAAGTCACTCAATATCAGGATACGGCCGCAGGCATCTTAACACAGCAATTTAACTGTTTCATATGTTATGGGTTAAATCCAAAGCACATGTTTACAGCTATCAGATTGAATATTATATGAATTTTAAGGCCTGTCAAGTTACTTTGGAATTCCTCTATATACAAATAGAGAGACAAAGTTCATTTTACAAAATACAACAAAGTGAAATTTTACTTTCACTGGTACTATCTCCCCTCTCCTTTGGTATTAAATCACTAAAAGAAAATACTATACGCTCCTAGATATTCTGAAAAAACAGGTGAAAGGAGAAAATAATCACTTATATATTATAGATCATCTTTGTTGAAATACCATAATATAGTATAGTAAAATATAATATATAATATATTATAATATAGGGCCAGCCGAGTGGCGCGATGGTTAAGAAGTGGCTTGGGACGCCAGAGGGCCCCGGTTCGGATCCCACATATGAGGGCCAGTGACACTGCGCCCTCTACAGCTAAGATGCTGAACAACAGCTTGACCTGGAGCTGGGCTGCCGTGAGTTGCCGGTGACGGCATAGGCTGCAGCCCCTGCTGCAGTGAGCTGCCATAAGCTACCGTGTGTGGCCAGCAGCCAGCATGAGTGGCTGGCAGCCGGTGTGAGCTGCCAAGAACCGCTGTGAGTGGTCTAGAGGCCAGCAACCGATCTGCCTCACCCGGGAAGAGCACAATGATAATACCAACAACATGGGCCAGTGAAGCAACGTCCTCCACAACTAGACTGAAGAACAAAAGGACAGCAACTTGTCTGTTCCCCTTCCCCAATTCCCCAGCGCTGTTCCCTCCCCCAATTCCACAATAAAAATCTTAAAAAAAAAAAAAAAATAGGTTCGTATTTAACGGCTAAGCTCTGTCTTTACAATATAAAAAAATCAACTACAAATTTGCATGACAGACACCATAAGTGACTAAAAGGTCTTGTTGTCTGATGAACATGAACCTTGATCTTACCGACCTTTCTATGCTCCTGTAAGCTGGATGCTGAAGAACACTTTTTATTGCACACCGAACATACGAGCTTTTTCTTAGGGTCTCCTGAAATAAAAACAAAATACCATCATGATTTAAATGAGACTATGAAGAGCAGCAACAGACACAGTGTTTTTAGGTGTTTCTCTCCTCATGCTATTTTTCACCTTTGAACTGGAGTCCTAGCTCCTCTGGGAAGAAATATGGGGAAAGTTTATTCACCCAAAGCACAGATAAATGTGATCTCCCGTAAGTACAAAAATCTCTCCGTTAGCGTCCACGGAGTCGAAGCAAATGAGAATGATGGGAAGTGGGTGAGGAAGTCAGCCCCTGCACGCTCTCCGTTTTCTCCTGGGTAACTGAAGGCTCTCCCCACTCTACCAGCGTCCCCAGGTTCAAGGACAACAACACCTACAAAGCCATAACTAGACTTTATACAAAGTTAGTTTTCCTACATTCAGAGAAATCTGATATTGGGCTGATTTCAGATTCAACTTTCAAAAATACTCAGGAACACATTACTGACAAAGGTAGGCAATGCCTGAGACATGCAGTCACTAAGTGCCCATGGGCTCAGCATGCTTCTAGGAGCTGGGCAGAAAACATCCGACGCGAGTTCTGGTTTCTATGGGAGGATGTGATGCATCTTTAAAAATTCAGCTTCACTCTTCTCAGCATCTTCAGTTCATTTCACTAACCAGGGACATTTGTCATCATCAGTGGTGAAAGCTGCACCATCTTCCCTTTCCTGGAATACCCTGCCTTTCTAGAAAAGGGTTCTACAGCCACATTGTGTGAACACTGCTTTGCTTGCTCTTCTAAGTATGGAATATTCTTGCCCCCAAAAGTCTGTAAGTCACAGAGAAAAGGGGAGAAGCAAGAGAGAGAGAACGAATGAGAGACAGACTATGGGCCAGCAGAAGGTGTACATGGTGGTGACCTCGGGCTGGAAACAGGAAGCTGCACATTTTATACGGCCCACAACATAAAAAACAAAAAACTTCCTCTTGTAAATTGTTTCCTACAAAATCACCATGAGTTTTCAGAATGAGGACTATTCTAATATTCAAGGCCAACTGCAAGAAGCCTCAAAGAAATGATGCTTATAGCACAACCTGAAGACCGACGCCCAATAACAAGGAAGAACACAGGTTTCCAGAGGTAGCCAGCAAGCGTCTGCCTTTTCACTTAGTTCAGCAAAGTTCACTTTAAAAATGACATGAAATATGTGTCCTAAAGATGGAGAAAATTAAGAACAGTATTTTAAACATCACAGCTTAGAAAAAACCTACGTCGACAGGTCTAACAAGGAGTTACGCTTGCCTTCTGCCAGCAGAGGGAAGGCCCAAGTACAGCGAATTCAGAGACAAATGCTGTCTTCCCTAAATGAGCCACGCATTGTTCAGAAGGGAAGGAAGAAATCAGAACATGGTACAGCTCACAGGACGGGCACCAACCTGAAGCTGATACTCAAGGCCACGCCCCCGCTCCGCAGAGCTTTCACACAGAGCTCACACCTAACACACAGCCCAAAGTGGGATGCGCCAGTGCGCTCACACCGGCTTCTATGACGTTAGTAGTGAAGAAGTTACACTGGGGACAATGAACACACACACAATACAGAGGCTGAGAATTCATGATCCTTGTCTCCTGAAGGTGGCAATAAACAAGATGGAAGAGAAGAAATCCACTTCCCCCACATGCAGAAAGACACAGTTCCACCCATTTTCACAAGCAGAGGGCACAAGGAAACGCACAAGAAAAATATCAGCACAGAGGGATGTCAGGGGTTCTGTGAACCTCCACCTCCTTAAGAAAAAGACTCTCAGCAAATGAAAAGTTCACTGCAGCGCAGCTGTCTGTTCGCCTCAGCGCTGGGGGGTCCATTCCTAAACCAAGCTACGCTTACCATGTGCGAAGCAGATCAAGTCTGAGCACCAGTTGCATTTTACGTTTGCCTCATTGTTTATTTAGCCATTAAAAGGAATTCAAGTGGTATGTGCTTTATTAATCCAGACATTCAATCCCCATGTCAAAAATTTTCTCCATCATAGGAGAAATATAAGCATCAAGAAACAGCATTTTACTGTAAAAATAATAAGGCATCACCTAGTACTTTAAAAATATATACTAAAAGGGGAATTTCAAGAGCCGAAACATTAAAATCATTATTTAAGAATATTACTTCTGAATGCACCTGACTCCCAAGCACAGCCAGATTCTAGCTAGACTTCCAGTCAGGATGAAGTCACAGAGAAAAACAACCCACGCTGCCCAAATCAACTCGAAGAAGAAGTGGTGTTCAGTGGAAGGAAGACGCCCACTGCCTTAGCGCCACACCTGTGTGACAATGAAACGCCAGCTCTGTCCTGGAGAGTGACAGGGACACAGGCTGCTGCAGCAGGGCGGGGGGGGGCCTTCAAAACCGCCCTCAGTGACTCACCAGCGTGGACATTTTCCTGGTGTCTCCTCAGGGCGTCCTTGCTCCTCAGCCTCTTCCCGCAGCTGTCAGCCTTGCACACGAACCGGGCTTTGCTCCGGCAAGTCTCCTGGTGCTGCTCACAGCTACAGGACAGCAAGGAAAGGGGGACAGGGAGGACACAGGTGATGACACGGCGGAGACTGGAGCACCGTGCAGGCTTTTGTAGCGCGTGCTCCGTGGGAGAGGGTCGGGGTCGTTCATGCATTGCCCCGGCAGGTACAAAGGGAAACGTCCAATTCCGCAGCCAGATGCTAAGTCAGGAAGACGCCTGAGAGCATGCAGCCAAAAGCGACCCCCAGACACAGCGCGCACATCGGGAAACTCGGACACCAAACCTGGATGCTGAGCTGAAGGGGGAACTGCAAACTGAGCACTGGAAACCTCGCGAAGACTCCCTCAGGCTGCTTTTCGCTGGACACTGAAGAACGCTGAGGGGAAATAAAAGGAACAAAAAGTCTTAGACAAAAACCGATGAGAATGTCTCTACTTTGAATACAGTCATGGTTGTGATCTTTGTTTTCACTCCATCTTTTGCCCTTTTAAATTTTTAGTCTTACTTAATTTAACTATAAGACCCAGCTCGGCAAAAGTATCTTAGGTGTAGAATGCATAATATTAAATTCAGTAACAGCTGGCTGGAATGCAGTTTTAAATTCTATGAATTAAAAAGTGTATACAGCTCAAACAACAAAAAAAGGGTATAGCTCTTGCTTGTTTATTTTTTAAGAGACTATAATAGAATTTCCAAATGTATGGTATCTTATTATAAAAGTTTAACATTTTTAACTTTAAGCTTTGAGCAGAAATTTTTCATCTCAAATTTCATAAGCAAAAGTGGATATATAAAACATATGGCGATAGTCTTAACAGAAAATGTAGCATATTTCAGAATTTTACTTTAATGAATAAAAAAATGAAACATTAAATCCATGTTCAAGATTTCATGCTCATTATAAAGTGACACTGTTAAAAATAAAAGTTTACAAGTATAGGTATCTACTTCCTCACTTTTAATAATTCATATTACTGAAAGTGCTTAAAGGATAATTTTAAATGCAGTAAATATATAAGTAAATAATAAAGGGCACAGAGCAGTGTGTGGTATCATTTAATCCACCTTATCGTCATATCCCGCACACATTCATCCCTAAATGGTTCCTCCAAAGTTGCAGTGAAACAAACAGTGCTTCCCAAAATGTCCCTGTTCCTCATACTCTCAACTCCCTCCATGTTAAACTTTTACTGATTTCAGAGGGAATATCAAATGCAGACAAGTGAAACTTGAGCTGTCACCCCAAAGCACTAGCTAAATTATACATATCTGAATTTCAGATTAGTAAACCAGTGAGCTTGATATTTAATGGCAAGTTATTAAATGGACAAAGACTGATTAGCATAAGCCTTGTTTACTTCTTAAATTCATAATCAGAATGTTTTAAAAATCAGCATACTATACTAAGAAAAAAACGAGTTAATGACAGTGACAATATAGAATGCTCGATCTCTCCCTCCCTCCATGTCTCCGTCTCTCCCTCTCTCTCTCTGTCTGTCTCTCTCTCTCTCTCTCTCTCTCTCTCTCTCTCTCTCACACACACACACACACACACACACACACACGTTAGAAACCAAATGGAANCACACACACACACACACACACACACACACGTTAGAAACCAAATGGAAAAAACCAAGTGTCAGCTTCTAATGCTACAGACATTCTTTAATGCACGCACTGTCTCTGCAAAGCCTGCTTCACTGGGAAGACCTTTCCGCAGTGCCTGCACTTGAAATCCTTCTCCTCCGTGGGCGTCTGGTGGAGGGTCTGAAGGTGCTCAGCCAGGATGTCCTGGCTGGTGAAGCTGGACTCACACTGGGGACAGGCGTAGTCCTCGGCACAGCCAAAGCAGTCTGCACATTTAAAGGGGCACAGGTTTATTGGACAAAAATTAGAAGCTGCGAACTGCTCAGATTCTCCCTCATTTTAAAATCAAATTAATTGTGTTTCATGGTATCAGATCAGTAAATTCTTATTATCTCTATGAATATTAACAGTGTTATCCATGAAAAATGACGGGAAGTGTTACTAAAGAGAAATACATTATTTTAAATCACTGCACTTGTGTTCTACCAAAGTTAATACAAAATCAGTTTTAATTTAAAGTTAACTCTTCAAAGAGCTATTACAAATGTCGAATTAAAAAGCAAACATTTTCCCTGAACTGGGTCATCCTGAGTTCACATTTAGTTGCATGAAGAGACAAATCCAGCCACAGAGAACTATACTGAGTCATCAAGGAGAATGTCACATGTATGAGAAAAGACCCAGATCATAAAAGCAGTGTTCATGACAGCAGAAGAGGGGGGTTCCTCTGCCAGCCCCTCTCTGGTCAGTCCTACCAGCCGGTCCCAGCTCTACCCAGACTCCCAGTATGCTATGTAAATTACATACTTTCCCAATTGTCAAGTAAGATTAGACTTAGAAAATGCAGGAAATGTGAAGAAAATAAAAATCACCAATAGCCCCATAATGAAGAGACAGCCGCGGTCATCGACTTGAGCCTGACCTGTGCTCTGTAACCCTATTTCATGCACAGCCCAGGAAGAGCTCCAATATCCCACTTCACATACAATGTCATATGTTGCTCTCTTTTTCCATTTAACATTTTCTCAAGTCAAATTTTTTTAAAAAAACTTAAGGTGCCATAACTCACTGAACGAAACTCTCCATTGTTAGACATCTGGGCAGTTTCTTTTGCTAGTTGTTTGGTTATTTTGGTTTTGAATTTTGGTTTTTAGTTTTATAAACTAAACCCAAAATTCTAAAATAAAAATACCAACACTATAAGTACGTGATTCATCTGTTTTTAAAACATACTTAAGTTTCTGTTGATTCTTTTTTAAAAAACGATGGGAGTTGATATTTGTTAACTAAAGAAAAATCAGGGTAGTAATAGATAAGTAGGCGATTTTAAGTTAAAATAACAGACACAATAACAGCATGTCCTAGGGACAATAGAGAAAAATAAATAAATACAAAAACAAAGAAAACACAGAATAACCCAAAAATAATTCCCATAACCCAATATCTAACATCCCACACAGTGTCGTGCACGTTTGAAAAACAGAACAGTCCTCATCTTTCGTTAAATAATCCAAGTAAAATAAAGAAACAAGCATAAGATGGCCGTGCTAAGAATGTTCATACTTCCACAGCCAACGGCATCCAGTCAGAATAGAAAATTCCTATGAAGGACTTGACTACCGTGGTGACTAAAGGAACCAGCACCACTTCTGAAGCAGCCTTGCCAGACAAAATGGGGAAACGCTCCACAGTATCTGCCTATTACAGTGGGCGGAGACCGATGCCATCTCATTCCCCTCAGGAGTGAAACACGACAGGACTGACCCAGGGCCCAGCGACAGCTGACTAGTCCCCGGTAGATGACAAACAAGGGACGCCTATCTCCGGGACTGCAGCGCTGATTCAAGCAGGTCGGTCCTACGGTTGTCACAAGATACTCGTTACCCACCGAGGACAGCCCAGCCATCCTGCAGGCCTCTGTGATCAGAGCAAAAAGATTTCCATAAGCTCCAGGTTCTCAAAGAACCTCCAACAAGAGCGAGGCCCGGACGAATCGTGTAGGGCCCTCTGCGCACCTCTGCGCCGCCCTGCCCACGTGCAGGTGAGAAAGGAAAGCCTGAGAGGTGGTGACTCACCGGGTCACAGGGCTGAGTAAGGCCAGAGTCAGGGCTGCAGTACAAAACTCCTCGCTCCCGGTCACCCCCCTACACCAGTGAGAGCAGCGGGGGCCTGAGCCCAGAGCTGCCTCTGCCTTCGGCAGTCATGCTGGCACATCTGTCTCCCATGCCCAGCAGCTTGTCCTGCTGGGAGAAGGGTGGGCACACAGCTGGACCTCTTCTGAGGGCACTGCAGACAGAACTAGCTTTACTTTGGGAAAACCCTACGATAATGCGACTCTAATTCCATCACAGTCCAAGCCGGGTTTCTCCTACCGTGTCTGTGCCCTGGGTGACCGAGGACAGGCGAGTACCTCTCTGCCCGGTGGGGACTCTCCTTAGCATGCTTACCTTCCCCGTCTGGGATCACCGTCAAGGGCGACTGCTCCTCCTCCTCGGCCTCCATGTCGCTGTCCAGGTAGCCAATCAGCAACTCTGTGTCTGTTTCTATGTCTTCAACTGCCAAATAGAAAATGTTTTCTCCTTCCTGAGGCAAAATTTTAAAAAAGATATATGGTATGACAAATATATCTCAATAATAAAAAAATCTGCTGACCCATTCATTTGTTTCTGATGATAGTTAAGAAATCGCTGTACGATACATCAAGGACCATGTGCCCATAAAATGTTACTAGGACGTTTCTGATAGATCCCGTTAACCTGACAAAGGGAGCTGACAATAATCCAGTGAAATACCAATGTGTATTATAGATGGTGATGGTTATACCTAGCAAACGAGGTAAGGATAATTATTTAAAGCTCTAAAAGGGAGTTCTGTGTCATGAATTGGCCTTATGCCATCACACTTTGTGAAGGGCCATAAACACAGCAAGAAAGTACTCTGTTAGGTCCTAGTGTCACCTCGGCACCCAGGCAGACAGCAATGACTTAGCCATGATGTCATCACGACTAACATTAAATGCAAAACTGGAAGAAAAAAGAACTTCCAAGTTACAACACAAACCAAAGGAATTGCAAGTGAACCCAGAAAGAATTTCCAAACAGCTGGACCGGAAATAGAAAAGGTTGGACTAGGCACTGGGGCAGTGTAAAGCCCTGAGTCGTCGTGGGCCCCTAAATCCCACTAAAATGACAGAAGGGAGAAGAAAAGAAAACAAGTTCCATCAACATACCAAAATATTTTTTCAGAAAATTCTAGAAGGTAGAAATCAGATAGGGTTGAAATGATAGTTTGCGAATACAGAAGAAATCTCAACCCATAAGAGACACAGAAGAGGAAACGCTGTAGGGAGCCTTCTTCCCAGGAAACCCCAGGGAACTCCACACTTGGAATCACCTGGTACAAAAAGCCCCGTGGACCGTGGGCCTATCACCAGAAAAACAGAACTGGGGCTGCTTAGCTGGCTGTCCCCAGAAGAAACACCCAGAATCACTGTTTTCTACATAAGTGGGGATTTGTTCTGGGTGGGCTCCTAGTTTGGCTGATGAGGATAAAGAGAAGCAAAGCACAGCCTGAATTTACTGAACCTTGGAGCTGGGCACAGTGGGGAAGGGCCGGACCATAAGCTCCACCAGCAGTGAAATCCAGCAAAGCACAGCCTTTCTCCTTCGGCAATATCACAGCCCGCACGTTAAGAAGAGGGAGATGGGGGCCGGCCCAGTGGCTCAGTTGGTTAAGAGCTCGCTCAAGAGTGTGAGCTCTGAGCAACAGCGGTTCGATTCCTGGCCCAAGCTGAGCAGCTGTTGAGCTGCCATCAGGTAGCAGGATGGCTCAGCTTAAAAAAAAAGAAAAAGAAGAGGGAGACAGAGGAGGGGGAGAGAGGAGAGAGGGACAAGGAGTGTGGAACGAATGACTATATGTGCACACATATGATATTTATGTGCGATGAACGCATACACAAGCACAACTCCCATGAAAAACTGGAAAAACACGCATCAAACTCTTATACAGTTACCATTTTGAAGTTGGGAGAAGGAGTAGTCTATATTCAATACTGTTTTAGATTTTTTTCCAACAGACTACCTTGTAATTTTAAAAACAATATCAGAAAATCCCATAGACGAGACAGAAACGATGATCATGTCCATCAAGTACTGCTCAAAGGAGGCCTGATTCAGAAGTTCAAAGCTCTGAAGAAAACGCAGCCCTTAGCCACAGTTAATTAAAGGAGGGTCCTAAAATACTTAGAGCATACCTCCAGAAACAGAAAAAGTTATGGCCACCTAAGACTACTGAACGAAATTCTACGAAATTGTTACTCTTAGGGCGACAAAACAAAATGCGATGCAGACACTCAAAAGAGAGGTCTTTTTTTAAATTAACCCAGAAGCAGTGCTTTCCAGGGTTTGGATGCCACTCATGTCCAAAGAGCTCCCCTAATGAAGGTTTCAGAATATTATCATAAATCTTAATGCTCATCTAGATGATCAATAGCCAAAAAACGTTAACTGAAAAGCCTTTCTAGCATTACTAGTCAACAATTTTGTGACGGCCTTTAGGAAAAGAGCAATTTTAAATTTTAAAACATAACATTAACTGCAAACCCAAGACACAGCATGCCAATTTAAAGGCTCTATAATGAAAGAAAATTTTAATAAACCAGTTAAAACTTCAATTTAATAAAAGTAATGACAGCATTACAGGCTCCGAGGACCACCTACAGGTCTTATCTGTGTGCCGCCAATGTGGTAAGAGGAGGAACGCCACTGCACTTGACTCCACAGAGCTCCCCAGATCCTTCTCCGTGGAACGCCGCCCACCGCCCAGAGCGGGAGCCTTTCCCTTCTCATTTGCTGCCGCAATAGTTAAGTGTCCTCTTAACATTGCGTCCTGGCCGACACGTAACTGATTTAATCACCCGTAACTCTTCCTTATGTGCTTCTCCCTCTTCAAAACCTCCCAATGTCAAATGTCTCATCACTATGTTGCTTTCTACACCTGAAACAAATCTTTTTTTTTTTAAAGGATAAAAAGGAAAAAAAAAAAACTCCCAATGTCAGAACCCACCAGACTTCTAATCTCTGAAGGCCTCTGGGGCGACCTCACCACCTGCAGGCTCATCCCAGCCCATCTCCTGCCCTTTGGCAAGAAGGGTTTAAAGGTGTCACCAGACACCTGGACTCAGCATCAACTCCCTAGGCCCCATGCTCCAGCTTGCCTGGCCATTCTAATATTCTGATTCAGAAATTTACTTATTTCACCTATCACTTCTGGTCGTAAAAGATTTATCAAATGTTATATTTATAGAAAACTAGATCTATCATATATTATACATATGTATAATAACTCCACTCCACTTAAGACTTCCTACCATCACACTGACTGGGTCCGACCCCCATCTCCAGCCCCAGCTCAGGATTCTCAACATCTAGACCCAGTCATCATGTCTCCAAATATGGTTCCGATGGCGTATCAAACGGACTCCCGCGCCTCGTTTTCATCTTCCTCCACGAAAACATCTCTAATCTGCTAAATCCACGTAGGTTCCTTTAATTAGAAGTTCTCTATATAAAATGTCTTGACGTCAACTAGGGACTTACTTGTAATTTATTTCTGTGGTTTTGTCATTTAACTCGTGTGATCAATGATATTCTTTTTTTTTTTTTTTTTATTTATTTATTGTTAGTTTCAGGTGTACAGAACAATGCAATAGTTACCCTTTTCACCCTCACAAAGTAACAACCCCCCACCCCCCAATGATATTCTAATAAGTGTTGCTCTCACCTCCCAAAAGATGGTTTCCTCAAGGCCGTGAACAAGAACCACATGTATCCCCCACCCCAGAAGTCGTGCTCACAATAGCGGCTCAACGCTTTACAGATATGAATAATGGAGAACACGGAAATGCCTGTGTCTACAGGAGAAAAGCACTTGCTAGTAAAAAGTTTACTAATATTTTCCTTTACTGCTTATAGTTGGGAGGCTATCAGAATAACCAGGTCACAGACAGTGGTGAGGTTTGCAGTGAGAAGTAATCAGGCTCTGAGTCTGACTGGAGAGGAGGCAGACGCTGTTTCCTGACAGACTGTGTGTGGGGCGTGACAGAAGAAGGGACAAGGACAAGGTGGTGACGATGCCCCTCAAGCACTCACAGATGGTACTCTAGTTAATAATTCTTCTCAAGGATTCAAAATAAAACAACTACAGATATTTGCTTTGAATCTATATCTTCTCTCTATGTATAAATACGTTTTCATGTGGCTCTTCACTCAGGTGCTCAAGAATCTCGGTCAACACCAGCTGTTTTGTAAAGCTAATTACTGTTCTTGAACCAATCTAGAAAATAAGACTCATTCATAATCCCCAACCAAAAAAATGATTTTAGATCATAAAATACTTGCATAGCTCTTCCTTCGGACCGCCAATGCACTGTGATAAGAAAAGCACAGAACTCTGATCTGTTTCTCTGAGTGAAGCTGAAGAAAAACGGTAGTGACCTAGATTTTATCAGACTCATCGTTTTGGTAACATCACATATTATGAAATTCAGATTTACAGGCAAATTAACATACACAAGAGCTCTGAATATCCTGATTGTCAGGGTTTACCAAACAAAAGTATAAAGATGAACAAATCTGGAAAAAGGGATAATTCGGCTGAGATGATTTGCAGGATAGCCGGAGGCAGTGCCACGTGATACAGCCACTGGGAGTGTTCCCTTGAGGCAGGGGCTCCACAAGATTCTTACGCACCAAAATAATCATTCCTAAATGCAGAAAGTATTGGGTTGTCGGAAAATTCATGACACATTTTTGCAACGAAAAACACAGAAAAATACGTCATGACTTTTTCCGACGACCCAATATATATATGGAAGGGTTGCCATATAAATAAAGTGGTATTCAACTGTCATGGATTTTGAGTGGTTAACTTCATGTAAATGGCCTTAAAAAAACACTATCACCAATATCAGTATGTCATCCCACACGAGCAGCCTAATGTCTTAGCTCAGCAGGGTCTCTTGGCATGCAGCTTGGGAAGTTCCATCACAGGAAATGGAATCCCACCCCCTCCATCTCAGAAAGAACCCAGGCCTCAGAAGCAACAGGGAGAGGCCGGCATTGAGGCAGGACAAGGGACTGGAAAGGTCTGCCACCTTCTGGCCCCGTGGGCATCTTCCTGATCTCTGGAGGCCTCAGTCTCCATCCATAAAGCAGAAACTATAATACCCCTGGACTAATTTGTGCTCATTTCTGATCAACAGCTAAGAACACTTAGCACAAATACCAAAGTCTCACACTTGATATAGCACTCTGCAGTTTCCTAAAGGTTTTCATGTAACTTTGATTCCTCAGATCTTCACAGTAATCTTGCGAGGTGTGGATGGAGGCGTCAGGTACACGAGACAGGCAGACTTTGCTCTGGAGTCAGATAGACTTGACTTTGGATCCTAGTACACAAATTATTAGCTATGTATCCTTAGGAAAGGTTACCTTAAGTTCTCTTAGTCCCCGCTACCTCATCTGAAAAAATGGGGTCAACAGTTAACCTGCCTCAAAGAGTTGACTGAAGGTTAAATAATGCAG